ACCAGGAAGCCCCGAGCAAAGCGGCGGAGGCGCACAGCAGGGAGACAGGAGCAAAGCTGCAGAGGCGGGGGACCTCGCCGCCTGTGCGGCTTTGCTCCGGGGCAAAGGAGCAAAGCCGCGCGGGCAGCGGGGTCCCGCTGCCTGTGCGGCTTTGCTCGGGTCTCCCTGCTGTGCTGAGGAGTCCCCCCCAGCACACCAGGGAGACCCGGAGCAGCTTTTCTCGCCCCGGAGGACATGGTGGCGGGACCGCTGCGCTCTGGGCGGTCCTGCCGCCCGCGAGCTCCGGGGCGGGAAAAGCCCCGTTTGTAAGTGCGGATCCGACATAAGTCGGATCCGCGTAAGTCAGGGACTGCATGTAAATGCACTTTCAACTGCGGCTCTCATACCACTTTGAAAACATAAATTAACTCTCACAAAACCTCTCTGATGCAGGCAAGTGTTAGCTCCATTTTACACCTGAACAAAAGCATGAAGAGTTTAAAAGACCAGGTATTTAAAAGGTACACGTTGTACCCCCCTGGTCCAGCACTCTCAGGACACGGCCAGCACCAGAGCAGGGAATTTGCTGGAAGGGGAGGGGAAGTCAATGATTGGGAGGTCAATGCCAGCCCCTTTGCTGGGTTCCGCTCCGGCAGCAGCAGAGAAGCCAGCACTGACCAAGAGGGAATGGAGTGGGGGGGGGCAGGGTTTAGGGGAAGAGGAAGCAGCAGGGTGGCTGCAGAGCAATGCAGCCAGAGGCCAGGAGTGCAGCCTTTCTGCTGCCAGACTGCATTCTCAGCCCCACCATCAGCCAAGGGGCTGCACTCCTGTAGCCCATGGCTGCATGGATCTGCAACTACCCTGCCACTTCTCCTGATCATCCCCATCCCTCTCCTCTCCTCCCTTCCTGAGCTTGAGCTATTTGCAGTGCTGCAGAAACTCTGGGAGGGCAGGGGAGGAGTTGCTGTGTACAGTGCTCCAGCCTGGGAGCATCCAAGAGGCTGCCGGTCCACAGATACTGCTAGACAAGGGAAGTCCAGACTACAGTGGTCCAACCAGTATTTAGTCACTTAACTCCTACTGAAATTAACAGAAGTGAGGTGCCTAAATATTTTTTAAAAAAATCTGGGCCTGAATTGCTTACCTGATCATATTCTAATCCAGAGGTTGGCAACAAAATGGCAGCAGTTCACCAGGGTTAGCCCTTGGTCAGCTGCTGCCGCTATATTTACCTGCGATGGCCCAGACCTGCAGCGGTGCCGCTCCCATTGGCCAGGAATAGCGATCCGCAGCCAATGGGAACTGTAATCCTCTGTACCTGCAGAGGTGCAGGTAAATACAGAGGTGTGGGGGGTCCACCAGGGGCTAACCCTGGCCCTGTTCTAAACACAGCCAAGAACAGAAACCAGGAATCCTGACTCACAGTCCCAGCTCTAACCAACAGACTAATTTTTCCTCACTTAGTAACCTTGTAATTTGATTTGCTCTGTCTTACATGGGTCTTTTCTTCTTTATTCCAATTTTAGCAACCTTAAGGCCCAAGTCTGCTCACACTGAAGCGAGCAGCAAATCTCCCACTTACTTCAGTGATGGCAGGACTGAGATATTTCTCTAGAATATTTTCCATCACTCTGTAAGAAGCAACTACAATGAAATAAATGATACTCTACTCTCTTGGCCAATAGGAAGAGAACAGAATTTATCTGGGATACATGCTTATTCCTTTTTATACCTTCATATACAGATTTTCATTTGTTGTTTTTCCTCAGATTAAAAACACCTTGGGGAAATCCTGACTCTGTTAAGATCAGTGGTAAAACTCATTGACATTACTGGGGCCAGGATTTTACACCTACGTTTTGAGGAATACAGTGGTGGCCAGGTGTGTCCAAGGTGAAAAGAAAATTAAAGAGATAACTCAAAAAAAATCATGAGTAAAAGTATGAGAAGTAAACCAAAGTTTCATAGAATCATAGAATACTAAAACTGGAAGTGACCTCAAGAGGACATCAAGTCCAGTTCCCTGCCCTCATGGCAGTGTGTGAAATTACACACTGTTTGAAATTTACCTCTGAGCAGAGAATTAGCACAGGTCTATGAACCATTTAAATACCTCTTAAAATTGCGTGATGAATTTGTATACAGCCCAAATCAGGTACAACCATTATAATTATAGATAAAGTCAAGCTCTACATCCTTAGCCATGCAACTACTACCTTGAATGGGAGCTACAGTGCATTTCAAGTTGGTTTTTTCAATTATTACACATTTTGAGTAAAAATTAAAAATAAAACCACTGTATAAAAGTGATTATAAAATAAGGTAACTATAACTAAAAAAAAGTTAGCATCCTACTGTCAAGGAGGTGGATGTTTAATGACGGAAAAGTCTAAAGTTAGAAAGAATATTAGATGAAACAATGCAGAAGGATACACAATACAGTCACAAGCAGAGAAGTTGAGGATAGCATTTTTGTAGAGTACCTCATGTTCTTTTATAAGTCGCTTGGTTTTACCGATACTGAGAAGTTTCTTCTCTTTACTTAGTTGTTTATTGAGTTTTGAAAAAGATGCATTAAATTTCCCTATTTCCATTTCCATTATGAACTGAATACATGATATGATTTCACGATGAACTGCCTGCAAAGTACAGAAAGCGCGGTCTCAGTGCAATGGTCATAAAGTGACAGTGGGCTATAAAGCAAGTAAAAACCTCTATTTTTGTAACAAAAATTGGTTTTTCAAGAGACCATGTCTGCTAAGAAAAAGCAACTCATTCTCTTCTGTGTATTTTCTCACCTCCCATCTTTCACGAACATCTCTGCATCTTGCCTCCACAGCTACCTTTTCATGAGCTGGTGAAATATTTTTCAATTGTTCAGCTGCTTTCAAAAAGTTTTCAAGGATTCTCGTGTCTAAAATGCTAAAAGCTTCCTGGAAAAAACACAACAGAACAGATCTTCACTCATGTACATCATCAATGTCATTATCATATCAAACCTGCGCAATGAGGAATGACAAGGTGTTTATTATTGGGCTATAATGGCAAAAGACCAGATTTGTCCCAGACATTTGCATGGATACATAGAGAAGGCCAGAACACAATTGCACTCCTACATTTTCTGTGACTGAAAAAATGCCAAGAACAGTCCCTATGCTTAGGAAAGTGCAGCTACGGCTCCTGCAATACCTCTTGTGGGTAACATTACATATCAAGGGGGAGTAGACAATGTGGATCAGTGGCTCTGCTCCTCCCTATGCTCAGACAATGAGGCACACCTGCACGCTCCCCATGTGCAATAGGAAGCATGGGAGGAGACTGTGTCTCCTGGAGGCAGAATCCCTATAAGCCAGGGGTCGGCAACCTTTTCAAACCAAAGAGCCAAACTACAACAAAATTCAGAACAAGTGGTCAACAAAGAGCCGTATAAGAATGCCCATTGGCATGCCTGAAAATGACAATGCTTAATAACAGCATAAATGAAACATTGTACTCACAGATTTTACATAATGGGACTTCTACTGCTGCATCTTTATGCACATTTCTTTGACATTTACCTCATAACTGGTCCAATCCAACTTCATGGATGCATTCAGGCTGTCTTCTGTCAATCTTATGGCAGGAGGCTGGGATGTGGGGGCGTAGGAGTCTGGGTTGGAGTGTATAAGGGGCTCAGGGCAGGGGACTTTGGGTATATTATGGAGTCAGGGCATAAGGTTGGGTGTGTGGGGGTGCAGGAGTGTTATGGCAGAGATCTGGGGATGCAGGAGTCTGGGGTTGTGGGGCTATGATGGACTCAGGGCAGGGGGTTTAGGTGTATGATGGGCTCAGGGTTGGTGTGGGGGGTGGTGCAAGAGTGTTATGACGCTGCGGCCAGATCAGGGCTGGGCCCCAATTAGGGGCTTATTGGCCAGGCTTCATTTTTAAACAAAGCAAAATATTATATCCAACACAAAAGGTTTCAACAATGTCTTTATTTATGGCAGGGGGCCACTGACCCACAGAAAAATCAGTCGGGGACCACACAAGTGAGAAGCAAAAACAAACCACCCTCCAAAAACCTTCCAGCCTTTACTGACGTGGCCCCCAACTGAAATACCTCATTCCTCTGGTGCACCAGAGCCATGGAAGTGGGGGAAGAGGCAAAAATGACTGAGGAGAGATTTACTCTTCTGGGGTTTCAGGGTTAGTGGATTTTGGGGGCCTCCTTATGCATTGGGGTGGGGCCAAAAATGAGGGGTTAAGTGTGTGGAACAAGGCTGCCAGCAAATAGGATAGGAATGGGGTTGTAGGATCTGGGTGGAAAGTGGGGTGTAGGAGAAGGTGACGGTGTGAGGTAGGATGTAGGAGCAGGCTGGGAGTAGGGTGTCTGGCCAGGGGGAGGGAGCAGGGTGTCTTGCTGGGGGGGAGGAGGGCAAGGAGCAAAGGTAGGGGGCAGGAGCAGACAGAGGGCGAGAGTGACCAGGATGACTGGCCAGGGGAGGATGGGTTGAGGGGGTGAAGGTGTGGATCTGGGCATGAGGCGGTGGGGGGGGACACTTACTTGTTTTCTTGCCGCAGCACAGGCACTGTGTAACCCGGCCTCCCACTACTCATTCACCAGAAGGAAGCCTCCAGTAAGTGTGTCCCAGAGGGGGAAGGAAAATGGCAGCGGTTCCACTGTTCCCCCCACCCACCCCTGCAGGAAGCCGGCGCTGGCATTCCAGTCTTGTGGGGGGCCGTAAGGCTGTAGCGCCAGCACCGGTTCCCTGCTGCGGGGGGAGCTGGGAGGGCTGAGTTGGAGCTCCAAAAGAGCCATATCTGGCTCCCTAGGGAGTCATATTTGGCTCACGAGCCACAGGTTGGTGACCCCTGCTATAAGCATACCCAGTGCTGACTCTGCACTGCCTTCCGGCCCAAGGCTGTCCTAAATAGTGCGCTTTAGCCCAAGGTCAAGATTTTCAAAGGAGAAATGCTTGTGGGTGCCTCAGTTTTTGGGTACCCATGTTAAAGAGGTCTGGATTTTTCGACGGCAGGTTCTCAGCACTTCAGGAATGAGATGTCTCGAAGGAATGACAAGTAAAGCACCCAAAAATCTAAGGCATTCAGCATTTCTATCTACTTTTGAAAAGCTTCTTCTGGGACACAGGATAAGGTTGTGAAGGGGTAACCAGTCCCCCAGGAACAGCCACCCACCCGCAGCTTGCTGCAGGCAGAGGGCTGCTCCAGCCCAGCGAGCCCTACGGTTAGAGGCTACTCCTGTTGGGCTGGAGCAGCCCCCCACCTGGGATCCTGATTAGTCAGTTATGCAGTTAAACATTAGGTTTTACATCCCTATAAAGGAGGAGACCAAAGGCTTTTAATGAGACAAGAAACATGACTGTGGTTCAGAGCTATACATTCCCGAAAGTCTTACAGTTGCCTGAGGATGGGGATGATGGAAACATACAGTACACAGAATAACTTATATACACAAGGAGGATGAATTACAGACGCTCTGAGAACTTTCAATTTCCTTTTATATAAGTAAAATCTTTATTACAACACCCCATATTGCTGTCATAATTATAAACAACATAATCTAAGCGAGGTTTTACTTCCCTTCAAGACAACTGTGTCAAAGCTAAGTGCAAAAAGTTACTTGTGCGTCTGATGGCCACTTGATCAGTCAGCTTTCAAACTCTGATAACACACTTATGACTAATGCATAAAAGGGCATTTTTGGAAAAGGAGACACTCCTAGGCTGTGTCCAGATTCCATGCCTCCGTCGACGGAGGCATGTAGATTAGCCAGATC